TTAAAAACTTTGTTAATTGTTCTTGAATTTTCATGAAATTCATGGGTATAAAATTTTCATGCAATTTTATGAGTTTATTGGGAAATTATATAGATTCAACTACATTTTGGTTACTATAATTTTATGAGAAATGTTTACTTTGGATGTAATGTATTCAAGTAGGTAATCTTATTCGCTATGAATAGATTATTCTCATGTGACTCGAATTAATTATAACTACTAGTTTAATTTTTTTGAGTAATTGATATTATTAGATGTGGATGAGTTATTGAATGTGGATTGATTAAATTAAAAAATTTACTTTGTGTAAACCAATTCGAGTAAAACAATATTATTTATTAATACTCAAATGAGATTTTGAATAATGGGTGTCAGGTCTAGGGACAAACGCCGTAAATAACGCTGCTAAAAAAGCTCTGACAGAGGAGTCATCAATATGATAAATTTTCAGCAAGGTACGTATGTACACTAATATTTGATTTTATTTACATGTAAAGGTTTATTTTTTATCTATGTGACTGTCTAGTTAATGAGTTCAATTGTAAAGAAATGGCTTAAGTGTTCTAATGTTTTGATTGGAATAAGACGTCTTCGTGACAAATTATAATATTATAATTTAGTTGTCTGTGTGACAAGCGGAATGAAAAACCAAATGGTTGAGACTATAAAAGGTCGGATGTCTAAGTGACGTATTTTATTTGCATAGTAAAGACGTCAAAGGGACGAAAGCGAATTGATAGATTGGAATGCCTACGTGACTAAAAGTAACCCAAGTGTTCAAGTTTGTCCTTATGACTGAGATAAGTTAAAACTGATTTTCGTCTAAGTGACAGAAGCTAAATTTTTATGTGATGTGAGTTGTTCCAAAAAAAAAACAAATAAAATTTTGAGAAAATCATACATTTTGTTAAGTTGTCTGAGTGACGATCGTATATTGATATGGTGATAGCTTGTGTGGTGTTTTGTCGCCTGGGTGGCAAGACGGTTATTTCTGTGTAAAATCCTAGCGCAATGAAATAGAATTTTAAGAAAAGTTATAGAACCACGAATATTATTGTGTGGTGTTTTGTCACTTGAGTAACACGATGGTTATTTCTGTGTGAAACCGTAGCGCAATGAAATAGAATTTTAAGAAAAGATATGAAAATAAAAATATTAAATTCCATAAATGAGCAAGGACATTATATTACTTTCTTTGCTCTATCTCTGAATTATTAATGAGAACTCACTGAAATTTACTTGAAAAATTTTCAAGTAAACTATACACAAAACTTGCAGTCCAGTCAGGAGTGTCGAGAAGGGCTCGTGTCAGTTTCTTATGCCTTTAAAAAAAAGAAAAATTTGTGGGTTGTATATGATGTCAATATTTTGATTTTGCCATGTAAGTAACACTTGTAAATACTTTTAAGATATGTATATTTTGCATGGTAGCAGACTTATGTGCCACGCACGCGCATATGACTTTCCTTTTTTTTTAAAAAAAAAAATGATCTTAAGATAAATATTTTTAGGATGAGTTTTCTTTAAATGTCATGTTATTATATTTTATTAATAACGGAATTGCCTAAATTTTATTTTTATAATAATAGTACAGTGGGATTGAAGTGTTACAATTAAAAGAAAGAAAAATAGCCTTATGCATGAGTTTTAGCCTTGTGTTTTGGCCTACACTGTTCCCTTCATATCTTTATTTCCCTTTTACCCTATTTTATTTTATAAGTCTTGGTACTAAGGTCCAGGAGCCATTGTGTTGGAGCAACCCACAGTATCCTCTCTCTCTCTCATTCATGTTGCATGTTTAGCACACGACTACATAACAGATCAACACTGCCAGAAACATCATTGCTAGGGCACCAGTTTGGGCAGATTCTGGGCGACTGTGCCAACAAAACTATTAAAACCTCTCAAGAAAGCTCTCGATGATCCGAGTAATTTTAAAACATATATTTTTCAACTCATTGTTTTTAAGCTAAAAAATGACATTTATGCCACTTTTTAAGCACTTCTATATTCTATCCCTCTGTTCGGGATATTTATTTAATATTTCATATTTTGTTGGGATTTTTTAGTAATTTAGAAATGTTAGGGTTTAGCATTTAAAAGATATGTAAGACTAATTCATCAGCTTTAGTTTTATTTGAATAAACGTAGAGAGATTTTTCTTTTTTCTTTCAATTGACTTGATATTCTTTCTTGAATCAACAAGACTTCTGACGACTTTAATCTGAAATTATTACGATAATCAACAGATTAGAGTTTTTTGTTATTTAATCTCATTTTTTTACCCATGTTGCCTTGCATTATTCTCTCTGGGCGATACTTGTGGAAGTTGAAAGAAAAAATACACCGTATAAAAAGTTTGTCATTAAAATGATAGAATCGTGAAATCCTGTCCCAAATAGAAGTGCTAGTTCTCCCATAGGTAAGAGATTTAATAACCAACAAATAAGGAACCCAGGCCAAAAAGAAGTCTCAAGAAAGGCAAAAAATTTATGCTAAACTTAGGTTTGGCCTATCTGAGAAGCAATAGCATTAATGCTTTGGCTTTTGTGTTAGTTTGAAATTTGCCCATCTATATCATGGGTAGGAAATTCTAACACAAAGCCTTAAAAAAAAATAAAGAAAAAATGTTATTTAGATCACTAGTGAATTGAAAATAAGTTCTATTATATATAAGAAATTTACAATTAATTTAATGATTGTAATAAATTAAATCTTCAAATTAAATTTTTATAACATTGTTCTAAAAAAATCGTCGAACAACTTGTACTTTATGAATATGCATCGGCTTAAAATTCTTTGTTCTAGTTTTGGTATAATTTAAATAAGAATTGATTGAGTTGAGTTGTACACGACAATAAAATTTAGATAGGGAAAGAAATTGTAGAAGCAAGAAGACCGTCGGTTGAGAGCACCTAAAACTCTTTTTGGAGTTAACCCAATTGACTTATGTGATGTTACATCTTCCAATAATCATATTTGTAGTGTGGTAACCATATTTGTAGTGTGGTTATCGCTCATTCATACACAAACAACACCAACCAATTACAAATCCACACATTTTGTGCTAACCACCACAACGTGAATGTCTCTATCACATCCATAGACTTTCTGCCTCTCAAAAACTCTCTTTTCACACGCACCCACCTTAAAGGTTTAGAGGAATGTTATACGGATTTAATTTAAAATCTAATTGAAGGCCTAATTTAACATATTCGTTAGATGAATTGTGAGTTTTTATATTAGGTGGAGTTCACTTTTAATCGAACAATTTTTTTTTTTGATTTGATAGTCAGAAGTGTCTGAATCAACTTACGTGTATCTCAATTAATCACCTCCCTTATTCGGTTAAAGACAAGTTATTCACACCAAAATTAAGGTATTTATAAGAAATAATTTTTTTATAACTTGACACCAAAAAATTGTTAATTTTTAAATTCAAGACATTTAAATTTATAACTCGTTAATTTTATCATCACTTAAACTACGCTCTTGCATTGTCTTTTTTTCAAACTCTCTTCGTGTAAGAAAAGTTGGGCATTTTCCTGTTCATTATTAAATTTTCAGTCATCTCTGTGGTGCAAATTATATTTAGGAAAAGAAATGGTATTTGGATTTAACCAAGCCTAACATTATAATTCACAATTAACCTAATAATTGTAATGATAATGAATTAGGTTTAGGTCCCTATAACATTTCTCTAGGGGCAACCCAAGGTAAATTGAGGCCATACACGAAAACTTCACATGAGACTCTATTAATATTTCACCCATTAATATATATTATTTTTAATTATTATAATTTAATTTTTAGATGCAAAATATTGATCAAGTTCTTATATTTAAGTTTTGACAATAAATTTTTCTCAATATATAATATAGTTAATTTATTTAATCTTAATTGATCGTAAATAAGATATTATCAATTAAATTTTGAGCAAACAATTTAACGGTGCCTCTAAAATTTGAACTTAACCAATTATAGAGTAATTTTGGACCAACAAAATTAGATAGGTATTTATTTGAATTCTTAAAATTTGACCCCTAAAAATTTGGATAGTATCTAATACAAAACAAAAATTAGGCTTAATATATTAAAGCGTAAACTTTTTGGGGCCTCTAAAAGTTGGGTTTAACCGAGCGAAGAGTAATTTGGATCATCTTTAAATTACAATATATATATATATATAGACCCACACACATACTTTACTACGGGGGGTAAATTTTTCGAAGCTCTCTAAAATTTGGACTTAACTAAGTCGAGAATAATTTTAAATTTATCGAAATTAAATATTAATTTGAATTCTCAAAATTTGAGCGCTAAAAATTTAGATCATATTTAAAATACCAAAAAAAACCTATTATACTAAAAAAAATAAAAATAAAAATTAGGAGTCCTCTGAAATTTAGGGCCTAAGCTAGCACCTTAGTTGCCTATACTTAGACCGGCAGTGCATTGCTCTTGTATGCAAGGGTCATAGCTCTTGTATATAAGTGTACAGACATGGACAATCAATTAGGTGAATTAATTAAAGACATGGTTAATCGAAAATTTGACATAAAGTAATATTATTTGGATTTAAAAATTTAACTAATTTACTGACATAATAATGTGATTTCATAAAAATCATTAGATCAACATCAAATTCTAATATTAGATGAGGTCTATAGTGAATCCAACTATTATAATGAATTATGTAACTAAATTACGTTACTAAATTAGATCCTCATTTCAATAATCTATGACCTAATCTTCCCATGGTTTAATCTGTGTACACATAAAAGCAGGACCTCATTAAAACAAGATTCCCAGTTCTTCACCTTCTCTCTCTGACTGTCTCTGCCTCTCTGTGATCGGTTCTCCCTCCACCTTTTCTTTTCCACAACTTCGCACTGAGAGAAGAAGGAAAAAATCATGTTCACACTATAATCTTAAACTCTTAAAACCCCAGTAGTTCTCAAATTATTCCCAACAATTCAGACCTTCTTTTGTGCCTTTCAATGGGTTTTCAATGGCTAAGCTTGGTGGGTGCCATTTGGCTCCAATCCATTAATGGGACAAACTCCAACTTCCCTGCTTATTCATCCCAACTCAAGCGTCTTCTCTCCATTTCACAGCTTGAACTCAACAACCTAGCATTTGCTTCCGACGCTGGAAAAATCCTGGGTTGGTTCGCCGGCATTGCCGCCGGTTATCTACCCCTCTGGCTAGTCCTCATGATAGGTGCAATTCTCGGGTTGATTGGTTATGGCGTTCAATATCTCTTCCTTACAAACCAAATCTCTTCTCTCTCTTATGTGCATGTTTTCTTACTCACCGTATTAGCAGGAAACAGCATTTGTTGGTTCAACACAGTCTGTTACCTTGTCACCATAAAAAACTTTCCATTGGATCGTCAGTTTGCCGTGGGGCTATCAACTAGCTACGTAGGATTGAGTGCAGAGATTTACACAGATATTGTAAATGTTTTCTTCTCTTATTCACAAACAGAAAAAGCTGAAGGCTATCTTCTTCTGAATTCAATCTTACCCCTTATAGTTTGTATAATGGCTGCACCGGTCGTCAGAAATATCAACGTCGGAAAGTCCAAGAAATTGTCAAGTGGGTTCATTGTAATGTTTGCAATAACAACAGTCACCGGAGCCTATGCCATGATCAGCAGTCTGGGTTCAGTTATGTCAAGTGTCATGTCACCGTTGATTGTTCTGATTGGTATGGGTGTGTTCTTAGTCACCCCACTTGTGGTGCCATTGGGTGATAAACTCAGAGAAACTTTGCAGCAAAAATGCTGGCTAAGGGTAGAGAGAAGAGTACATAATCATAATCTGAAAGTAGTGGAGGGTGTTGAAGGTTCAATGAGCGTAGAGGAGGGAGTGAATGAAGAAGACACCACTGGTATAACAGAATTAGTTGCTGTGAAGGAGGAGATTGGAGCCAAGACTATGGTGAAGAGAGTAGATTTTTGGTTATATTTCTTTGTCTATTTCTTTGGTGCAACTCTTGGGCTGGTCTATTTGAACAACTTGGGTCAAATTGCAGAATCTCGTGGATGCTCGCAGATTTCTTCTCTGCTCTCATTGTCTTCTTCATTTGGTTTCTTTGGTCGCCTCGTTCCTTCCCTTCTCGACTGCTACTTCTCCAGGTTCTCTCTGTCTCTCTCACACACACAACCCTTCATCTCTCTAGAGCATGAGGTGCTTTAATAATGCTTTTAAAGCAATACGCACCGATTTTTAATACTAGACCAGCTCGGGGGCGAAAGTATAACCAATTTGGACAGGATGGATTTTTAACTCATGAATACCATAATTGTAATTGTAGTGTGGATGACTTGTTTTTGATTAGATCAAAAAAAAAATTAATTGAGATGAACATAAACTAATATTGAACACCTGTTAAACCAAAAAAAAAAAAGTATAACCTCAGTAGTGTGGAGTTAACGTAGAGTGGTTGTGTTACTTATATTTCAGGAGAAAGATCAAAGTCTCAGGAGCAGCATCAATGGCGGTGATGATGGCACCAATGGCAGGAGCATTCTTCGTCCTCCTCAACAAAACCGACGTCTGTCTTTACATCAGCACAGCCATTATAGGTGTCTGTACCGGAGCAATAACCTCCATCTCCGTCTCCACAACCACAGAGCTGTTTGGGACAGAGAATTTTAGTGTAAATCACAACGTTTTGGTCACAAATATCCCAATAGGTTCATTTCTATTTGGTGACTTAGCAGCACTTCTTTACAAGAAAGAAGGAGATGATGATCATCATGGTAATGGAAGATGCATGGGGATGAAATGTTACCAAAAGACATTTGTTATATGGGGTTCACTTTGTCTTCTTGGGATTTTGCCAGCTTTAATCCTCCATGCACGAACCAGAAAGCTTTACTCGCAAAGATCATAGGTTGCCAAAACACGAACCACTAATATTTCAATGCCTATGTATGGTTAAAAGAAAAAGAAATTATAACCCACGTTACGGACACGAAGTTTGCAATATTAATCTTTGTACTTAAAACACTGATGTATGACTATAATATTTTGCTAGTGATTATAATCCTGTTTTCATAATACTAATTAAGGATGTTTTTTAGGCCATTCAATCTTATATGTTTTTTAGAGAGAATATTTGTGGCTTTAACCCATCATAATCATGAAATTAATAATGGGTCCTTACTAAAATCGAGACCCAAATTCATTAAGTCACAAAATTATATAGATCAATAATTAAGTCAGTGTAATATTACTCTTTTCTCGGAAGTTCAAGACTTGGTACTTGGTAGGGTATTTTTAAGGCAGATTGGATAGTAAATTTTCTGAAAAATAAAAAATGCGAGAAATGAAGATTTCCGTGAAAACAGAATGGGTCCGAGAAAAAGTAATTTTCCACAGCGCAGAAATTCTTCCATACCAACTTAGCTGTCCAGCGCTGCTATTGGCATAACGGTCCCCTTCCTTAGCGCAAGCACTAAGCAAAGGGGAGGACTTTTCAGAGAGCACATAGCGCTCTTTCAGTTTTGTGATCCGGCGGGGAATCTCAAGGAAGTGCGCCTTATTCAAACTTTAAGGGGATGTTCCTAAACGATTTCTCCACAGCACCCCTGACCAAACAATCAAAAAAATCAGAAAGTCAAGATCTCTATTGCTGGGACATGGCCTCATCAAACCAGCCAAATAAAATTGACACCTGAGTTGACAACGGAGTGCTACCTTAGCTTTTTGTTGTCACCCTTCACACCTAATGATGGTGTATGGGTTGTTCTTCTAAGCAGTGTTCAAACAATGACACAATCCATCCGGTCTAACGTCCTATGTGTATGAACCTTATAATCCATCGGTAGGGGTTTAGTATATATGAGATAATCGTCAATTCACATATTTTAAATTCGACTATATAATAATTTTTTTTTTAAATTTATTAAATACTTGTGATTAGTTGGTGATTATAGATTTTGAGATTTACTCGTGGTTAAAAGTTAGAGATAGGTCATATATAACCATCTTTTTAATTATGAAACAGATATATAAACACATAATTTCAATGATTTATAATGTTAAGCTTCTTTATTATCATATTTCTTGTACCAAAATCAAATCTTTTTAAGTGAAACACTCATAATGTTATTTGTACTTAATATGCTTGTTAGTTTAAATTCAGTTATAAAAGGTACAAATTTTCATACACATTCAACGCCATCTAATCCTTATATTTAACTAAAGCATGTTATTAATCAAACAATGGATTTAGGACCACACATCAATCACCCAGGTCCAAAGTCAAAGAAATATGCAAACTTTTGGAGGTAAGAGAGCTGATAAAGAGAACAATGGCAATCCAAAAATAGAAAAAACAAGAATGGTGACGATGGCCTTTAGGTGGGGGCTCTGAAGAGCTAAAAGCAATCAGGTGAAATTTGTTAGGAGTTGGGCATAAATAATTAGATTGTCTTTTCTTTTGAAACTTTGCTAGATCAAGGTTTATCTCACAAATATTTCTATCAATTGGAGTCTCAATCGAGCCATATTGTATTAGGTAGTTGCAGCCATGTTGAGACACCACGTGTGAAAATAATACATCAAATAGAAAAGAAATTGAAAAAGTTCTAATAAATCTTAAATAAGTTTATTATTGACCAAATTAAATAGAAAATAAATTAAAAGAGTTCTAATATGCCGTGAATATTAGATATTTGTTAAAAAATATTGATTTCAAGTTGTGTTTGAATATGTTTGGGTAACAATATTTTATCTGTATGAATAAGATTGAGTATTATATAATTAGTTACTCGATGACTAAATTTTCGGTGAATAAAACATTGATGTAATTTTTTTGGTATGTAGATGTAAGTATAATGTACTAATGTGGATATATCTTTGTGTTTTGTTTTTATTGTTTTTCCTATCTTTGGATAATTAGTATTTGTGCTAATTATCTATTATGCAAAACAAACAAGTGGTATTAGAACAGGTGGTAAAAATCTTGGGATGAACTTTATCATAAATAGATTGAAGATCTTAGTAGAATAATCAAAGTTAGATTGACAAACCTGATGCAACAATCAAAGCAAGTTATTAACGATGCAATGATCAAATTAATATTCATGTTGTTGAAGAACTATCCTACCACGTGTTTATGATGTAGTGTGAAGATTGATTTTGTCCTGCATATATATTAAAGTCGTAATCTTGAAATTTTTTGATAAAGTTTTTGGATCTTAAAAAAAAAAGTAATCAGAATCAATGACTAATGATTCTAGTTGAATTTTTTTTTTTTGGAGGGGGGGGGGAAAGAGGGGGATTTGAACCCTTAACCTCAAGAAGGTAAAATTTTCGTAAGGTAAAAAGTACCATTAGACCAAAGACCCATTGATAATTCTAGTTGAATTCTTTAAATTATGTAGTGTGCTGATATTGAAGACAATTATTCAGAATTTGGTTTTTGAGTTATAGTCATATTAACACAATGGTTTGAGATATATTTGGTTGACATCCACCCAATATCAATTTGGTGTCTTTTACGTATGTTTACAAGTCTCTGAGCTTGTCTTATTAGTTCAGAAAAGTAATTGCTGACCTTGTACGATTGTATCCATGCAAGTGTCCAAGCTGCCCTAAAAACCAAGATACCGAATCTGTTTTTTTTTTTAATTGGGAGAATTCTGTGGTGAAAAATAATTTCGTATCTTCGTGTACAATTTTTTGTTATTTGGGATTAATCTAACAAAATTTAAAAAATTGTGTAACCGACTCTTAAAAAGGCGTAATTTAATTCTAAATATTTTTTGTAAGATTGATCGTTGAATATTACGATGAATCTCAATTTGTCATTATAACTTACATTTAAAAAATTATATTTTGAATCAAAAATATTATAAACTTTATTATTACTAGTTGGTGCACACATGCGTTGCACGTGGACCACTTCCAAATTAAAATGTTAAACTTGATAAAGATGATTAGCAATCTTTTCTGTAAGACCAGTTGACAGAGAAAGGTATGATTGATATGCAATTATTTAAATTGCCATAAAATATGCTATAGCCAAAATAAAAAGAAAGGTTAAGAAAAAAAAAAAATAACTATTGTTCCTTTGAAAATTTATCAATGACATAGCTAAGAAAATTTACCATATCCAATAAAAATGTACATAGAGAGATAGAGAGAGAGAGAGTATAATTTAATTCTACAATTACCTATCATTCAAAGAATATAGTTTTTATAATCCAAAACAAGGTGTACTTTCTCTTATTGAAATAGAACTTGAATGGCCAAGGATTGAAGCAACAAAGCCAATTACATCCCCGGTGTAGTAACAAAATCAGCGCTGCATGGGATCCATTTGAGCTGAAGTTGAGATAATGAAGGAGGATTCACTTGATTGCCCTAAAGATTTCCATGGAAAAAGCATTCTTGCCAAGTTTTATGGAGTGTTGCCATTTCTCTCCATCACAGGGCATAAGGACCAATATTTCATATAGTTTGGTATTCTCAGCAACTAAACTGGGTTTAAAAAAGCAAAACAAAAAACAAGGAAAGAAAAATAAAATTCAAATAATGGCTATCATATCAATGCCCAGAATTTTTTTTTATTGATAAGAAATTCAGTACATCACATACTAAATGCAAAGAATAATTCATCTCAACAACGCAGCAAAATGACATCCCCTTCAGCCATATGTCCTGTGATGTCTGTTTTTTTCCCACCTTTGTTTTCCCTCTGTTTTCCATCTTTGGCAGCAACTTTATTTCTTTCTCTGACTATCCATTAGACCGCTAGTCTATGAAACATGGAAACTCAAGGATAATATCAAATACACCTCCTACGTATCTGATAATAATAAAATATTCGTATACTTCATGAATACTTTTGTATTCGAGCAACATGTATAGTGTTTGAATTAAATCTTTTACATCTTCTTTCAAAATCACATAACGTAAAATACATCAACAAAAATTCATACTACTTTGAAGTCACAAGAAGACGCATGAGTGTTTTTTTCAAGTATTGCCTACTACTACATGTCAAAAGAGTACAAATTATAAAATGAATCTATTATATTATAATTTTAACAACAAATACTTCTAAACAAACCAACTAAGTAAATATTAATTTTGATTCCTTTGATTGTAGTCACTTCACTTTATGAATGTACCTTGACAAAACTAAACAAGAAAGAAGATATTCTCTAAGCTTTAGCTTTACGACAAGCTAACACAACTGAACTACCGAAAATAGCTTGATTTATATGAGCCGACTTTCTTATTAGGTTAAAAAATTAACCAACGTATATAATTAATAAGACGGTAAATAATAATAAAATATATTTAATATATATTTTACTATAGGCGTATCCTAGTCGTATTCATATCCTATTTTTTAAGATTTTGTCATATCATACCCGCACTTATATCCATGCTTCATAGCTGCAAATCAAGAGATGCCAAAAATAAAAAAAAAGTGATTCACATTGAAAAAGTGGCTGAATTTTGAATATCAAACTGAGACATACATGTCTTTCCTAAAAAATTAACAAATATAAATCCATTTTCCACTAACAAATTGAAACCATTTCGTGTGGTGAGCCTAAACCAATAAATACCTCGAACCATTATTGAGTTCACAACCCATAAGATCCAAGCAACATTCTTACATCTTATTCATACAAATGGACCAAAAGATAAAAACAATATGGATAATAAAATAAGGCGCAATGCTAGTGAGACTTAATTTACTGACATAATTCATTGTGACCTTTGAATTGACTGTAGATCTCATCAAATATTGGAACTTAGTGTTGATTCAATGATTCTTATGAAGCCACATCATTATGTCAGTAAATTAGGTCAATTTTTTAGGTCCAAATAACATAACTCTAAAATAAGCAAGTGATAAAATGAAAGGCT